GACTCGATGGCACATAACAACAACAACAACAACAGCATAGTAATCCACATGATTGTCTGATAAAAATGGCCAATGCATTTCATCAGTTCATTTCAGCTCACTAAGGCCTAGGATGTTGATCTTTACAAGTTCCATTTCAGTTTTTACAATTTTGAATATTTTTAGATTCATTCTTCATGCATTTCACATTCTGATTATTAATGGATGTTTGTAGCTGCTTCTTCTAATTTGAAATTGTGCCCCATAAGCAAAAGAAGGTCCCAAAAGCTTTACTGCATCCAAGTCCTTAAAATCTAGGACTTTGAGGAGGCAGCTCTTCCTCACTCATATTTTGAGTGCCTTTCAATCAAAGAGGCTCATTTTCTGGCATTATATCAGACAATGCTTCACTGCTGTTCATAAGGTTTTCAGGGGCCAGTTTTTTGAGAAGTGAATGGCTTCTTCCTTCTTCGTAGTCTTTCTTAGTCTGGAAGCTTTGCTGAAACCTGTCCACCTTTGGTGACTCTGCTGATATTTGAAATAGTGTGGTATAGCTTCCACATCACAGCAACACACAAGGAACCACATAGTAAGACAAACTGACAGACAAGTAGTAGAAGATAACACGTCAGGTAAATTAATTGCAGTTACACTTGATAGGCTATTTTTATAATACAGACCTAAGTAAGTGTCCTTGTGCTCATATATTTCAGGGTTTAGCCTATAGTTTGAAGTGCTTGAAATTTCTTTCTCTTTTATTCATCATTTTCTTTAGTTTCACTGCTCATTACACTGCCATTTCCATCAGAACGTGTGAAATGGAAGGGGAAATGAAAACTGGTAAACATAGTTTATGCCAGTTTGGTTCTTAAAAGTATGTGAGGAACTTAAAACAGCTAGATAAAATTAGGTTGGAGGTGTTTCCTTCTGTGCTATTCCTGTCCCACATCACCAGGCATCCTTGAAAGTACATATATTTGTTTAACTTACTACAATTTCTGGTTTCAGAAAATCTCAAGATATTAATATGAGGAAATTTTATTTGAATTGTCTCTCTTAAATAAAGCCTGCTCATGAAGGCAAGGAAGAATATTAAGTGACCATTCAAACTCTAACAGTTATTTTTCTTTGCATACTAAAATGGCATGAACATCTTCCCCCAGACAGGCCAAGAAGCAACTTTTACATTCCCATAGCACCTTTTTACACAGCTATTTTAGTTGTTAGAGTCCCCGGGTAATGCAGATGATTAATTCCCCCATCATTAACCAAAAAGCGGGAGCGGGGGGGGTGTACACCTAGAGGCACCTTACGAGAAAGTCCTGGTGATCTACTTCTGGAAAATCAGCCATTGAAAACATTACAGAGCACAGTTCTACTCTGAAACACGGGAGCTACCATGAGTCAGAGCCTACTCAAAGGCAACTGATGGCTTGTTTTACTAGTTGTTGCTGTAGGTGCCATAGAGTCAGCTCCAACGCATAGCAACCCTATGTGCAGCAGAATGAAACACTGTCCCGTCCTTCTCCATCCTCACAATGTTCACTGTTTGAGGCCATCACCACAGCCACTGTGTCAGTTCATCTCATTGAGGGTCTTCCCTTTTTTTTTTGCTGACCCTCTACTTTACCAAGCATGATATCCTTTTCCAGGGACTGCTCCCTTTTGATATGACCAAAGTATGAGAGATGAAGATAATTTTAATCACCATGTTGCATTTAATTTGTTGTCATTTGATCCTCCCCTAGGGCTAAAAACTCCTAAAAGAAGAAATTGCCTTTTCACCTTTGTATCCCCAGGTGTCTTGCACAGTTCTTAGCTCACAGTAGGCAGTTTCGATAAGTGAAGGAATTAATAAAGGATCACTGAGCTCTGGTGGCATAGTGCCTAAAGCATTTGACTGCTAACCAGAAGGCTGACAATTCAAACCCACCAGCTACTCCTCTGAAGGAAGACTGGACAATCTACTTCTGTAGAGATACCGCCTTGAAAACCCAAAGAGAGATTACTATGAGTCAGAATTGACTCCATGGCATTGAATTTGGTTTGCTGTTTTTTTGTTTTGTTTTTTGAGATTTACATGAGAACAAAGAAAGTTTCTTATTTGGAAGCAATTCAGCTACCTTAACTGTAAGAATTTCTGATACAAAATATATCCATTCCCCTTTATATCTTCATTATCTACATGTAGCGTAAGTATTTCAAACCATTACATAAATTACTGTGTCTTGTATAAACTGCCTTTGTAATAAGCTGAAAGGTTAAAAACACTGCTGGGGAATAAGATATCTTGCCGTATGCATGCCAATGCAAACTCATTGAAAATCTCCAGCACCGTTAAAGAATTTGTTAAAGCCTCTCTTCTTTAGTAAAGTTAGCCTAATAGCTTATTACACGGTGTAATTGTGATATTTGAATATTCCTCCTAATGATTATTCAGAGACTGAGACACGTTCTTGATGAAAAATGATCAAATGCAGTGCTCTATTTTTAACCTACATCTTCAGCAGGTTTATTATTTTGAAATAAAATCTATTAAACCTCATGAATACATTATTCCTCATTAAGATTCTTTTTGACTTCATTTGACATGTTAAAGACAGGGTATCAGTGAATAATTTATAAGTAAAAATTATTTTACAGTATTTATCTTAGAAATTAGAGTGAATAGAACACAAGAGAAAAATGATTTAAAAAAGAAGAAGACCCAAGTACCTGATAGAGAAGGTAAGACAAGACAGGGGACTCTCCAGGTTAATTTCAGCGTTTCCAGAACACTCCTACCTTTTCATCTAAATGACTTTTCCCAGTATTTTGCTTTATGAAATACATAGGTTGACAAGCCAACTCATTTAATAGACCAACAATTACTGAGATCAAAAATTACTAACAAAAAAGCATACACATATGATTAAATCTCCATCGTTTAATCAACTTAGGACTCTGTTAAATGAAATCAAGTGAACATGTTCTTGGTGATCCATAAACCATTATAAAAAATGTAAAGTATTATCATTACAGTAGTACACATGTAAAACATTTTGCCTAATAATCAACTTTCTGTTTACGGTGGTTTTGTGCTTGATTCCTTTTACCACTAAAAAACATCATGCTAAAGTAGTGGTTTTCAAACGTTTTTGTTTATTGGCCTCAACTAGGATTTCTTTGAAACAAAATCTTCCTGTAAATCCAAAATTAGCTTCAGGAAATATCTATTTTGTTCTTGGACTAGGAAAAGAGAAACAAATTCTATTTTAAGCCTGAGGGAGGAAGGAAAGGGAATGCTGGAAGTTGATGTAATCAGTTATGAAACTAAGATTAAGATAACAAAAGTCATTATGATGGCTGGTCATTGACAAGATCTGGGAGAACTGACACATTGCTCCAGGCCAATGAAGTATGACTAAGGAGGATTTCATAAAAGCTCTTGCTCCTACCAGCAAGTAGATAGGGGCACTAAGGCTCCCAACTGTTCCCTTCATAAATTCCTATATTTCAATCGTCTTCTGCCCACAACTACACCAGAGGCCACACTTTGAGAAATCTTGGCCCCCAAAAGAAAAACTATAACATGTTCTTATAGTTACCAGTCATCATAAAATACTAACCAATACTCAGCAAATAGTTCATTAAATCTTTTTTTGGGGGGTGGGGATTACTACCTAGTTTTCATCAGATCTAAGTTGAATTTTTGGAGACACTTTGTTGTTGTTGCAATGCTGTTGTTGTTATTTGCCATCCAGTCGGAGTGACTCATAGCGACCCCTCCTTGGATTTCCGAGGAGATATCACTATGGAAGTAGATTGCCCAACCTTCCTTCTGAGGAGTGACTGGTGTGTATGAACCACCAGCCTTCTGGTTAGCAGTCAAGTGCCTTAGGCACTACCCTACCAGATCTCTATATGACCTACTTTAGGAAACTATTTTATGAGCTCTCAGCCTATTTAGCTTATACACAATAGCTTCAACATTGAAATAGGTTATCCTTATTTGAATTCTCTTTGTAACATTTTGCTCAGTAAAATCAAGCATTTAAAATATATGCTATAGTTGCTTAATCTAAGCAACATGATGCCAGCAAATCAAGAGAAATTTGAAAAACAGTTCTTCATAAAATTGCATAGTCATAGTGTTTACTTAGAAGAAAATATTTTTATCTGGCTTTTTAGTATCATGCATATGCAACATTAAATAATCATTGCAATATGCTATCAAATATAATTAGGAAAAATATTTTTATCTATCTACTTAGCATCATGTACTTGCAACATTAAATAATCATTGTAGCAAGTCATCAAATATAATTTTTTCTCTAGATTTTAATCAAACATGATAACTTTTTAATGATAAGGCATACTTTTTCATTTTTTTTTAAATTATTAAGTGCTAGGGAGCACAATTACCATTCAGACAATCATGTCAATACATTTTCAAATCTTTTATTAACACATATAAACAGCTTAAATTTTTACTGTTTTGCTTTCCTACTCTAGGTTTCAACAATCATATCACAATTCTGTGGAAATATTCAGAGTTAATTTTCTTCCATTTTTCTCTGGTCATGACCACACACACACACACAAACATCTGTACTCATCTTATTTTAATTGTATTTTGAAGATATCTAAATATACTTCCTTTTCAAAAAGTGGTAGTAAATTATTTGTGCAAAATAGTGGTGATTTTTAATATAGTAAATGTCACTTTCTTTGTTAAATGATTACAAAGTGGAAAAACACATTTACAACTACTTTTGAGGAAATTATTTCAAAGTGCAAAATCATGTAATGAGATTATTATAAACTCATTGTTTCAAATCTAAATGACATACTTTAATGTTTCTTTTCACTTTTAAGTAAACTGTAATAATTGAGTAGTATGAATGAGCTTACTGAACTATGTAACAGTCAACTAAAATTGCAGTCTCATTTTAATTTTTAAGATGTAGAAGTCTTCAGAAGACTCATTAGCAGACATTATTTTTAAATATTAAAAGAGGAAATATAGATTATCTACTCACCCTGTGGTGTTGTGAAATATTCTGGCAAAATTAAAATGACTGTGATAACTATTGCCACAAATAGTTTAAGAAGGGCTGTTTTTGCCATGTCTATTCACATGACACAAATGTGCTCCCATCCAGTTCATCGATGATATGTTTCTTCCGGCTTTAAGTTACATCTCTGTAGTGTTTTAAGTTAATGCAGTTCACCTCATATTCACTTCCTTTTGGGTAAGACTTTAAAAAAAAAAAAAGGACTTGAACTGAGACTTCTTCATTTTGAGTCACTTTCCATTAAGAGAGCTATCCTCTGATAAATATCTTTAAACTATCTCCTAAACAAATAAATAAAATAATATTATCTCAAGGGGTCTTGTTTCATCTAATTTTGCAGGTATTTTCCCATGTTAACCAATCTGTATGAATAAATGTAAACCCACAATATATTTACCAAAAGTAAAAGCATGGATGTCAGTCATATCCAGGTTATATGGATGTCATTCATTTATTCATTAAATGATTATTGTTCTGGTTACCTAGTGCCACTCTGACAAGAAATATACCACAAATAGGATGGCCTTAACAAACAGGAGTTTATTCTTACAATTTGGAGGTTTTAAGTCCAAGTTCAAAGTGCCAGGCTCTAGGTGACGGGTGAAAGCCCCTCAACCTTGGGGTCCGGCTCGATCTCCTCCTCCCAGCGCACTGGAGCTAGAGGCATTTCTTCACACAGACAGCTGTTGGCTGCTGAGGCTGAGAAGCCCCAAGGTTGACAAGTAAAAAGGCACAGTACTGATGTTACCAAACCGCACGGCAGGCCATTAACGTAGGTCCATTTTAAGTCCCAAGGTCGGCAGAGCGTAGGAGGCTGCTGAGCAACTACACGGCTACATGCAGGGTCCAAGCATGCCAAAGGCTAGAGACCATTCCCAAGGCTTCTGCTTAAATACAGGAAGCAGATCACATTCCCTAAGGCAGCTACTCAGCTGTTCCCAGTAGATTCCACCATGGAGTTGATTACCAATCTCATCATGGGGAATACTACATCCAGCTGCCCAGCCACTCAACGGGCCCAGCCAAGTTGACACAAAAACATAACCACCACAATTATTGATGCATTTTTAAGTGCTAAGTGCTGTGCTGGAGTCTGGTATTAAGAAATAGTACATCCCAATAAACAGTTAAAAATGTAAGAATAACCTAAAGACATGCAAAATTCTGAGTTGATTTTACTTCATTGCACATGAGCAGTAGAATGGAACTCATTAACCTTAAGCCTACAAACATTGTGATTGTTGTTGTTTTGCCGTCAAGTCGGCCCTGACTCATAGCGACCCCTCCTTGGGTTTCCAAGGCAGTGAAGTAGA